GTGTGGTTTTGGGATATGCTGCATCTCTAAAAACCCCCATATTCAGTTGTGATTTTTGGGATATGCTGCATCTCCTGAAAATCCATGTTCAGTTGTGATTTTTGGGATATGCTCCATATCTAAAAAGCCCCGTGTTCAGGTGTGATTTTTTGGGATATGCTCCATCTCCAAAAAGCCTGATATTCAGTTGTGATTTTTGGGATATGCTCCATCTCCTAAAACCCTGTATTCAGGTATGATTTTTGGGATATGCTCCATATCTAAAAAGCCCCATGTTCAGGTGTGGTTTTGGGACCACCTCACAAGGTTTATGCCTGTACCTGGCAATCCTAAACCTCCATGGATTTTATCCCTCAGGAATGTCTTACTAAGCCCAGGAAGATGTCCATTTATCCAGAGCATGGTTGTATCAAAGTTGAGGTGCAGTGTTGAACCTCAAACCCTTGAAAACAGGAGGAACTGGTTATTTTTCTCTGATCATTCCAGATTTGGATGATCCTGATCCTTTCCATGCCCAAAAATGCAGGTCAGAGGGTTAGGATGACTTTGGTGAGGAAGAACCAAATTCCTGGGATCAAGGTGAGCTTCAGGGAGGGATTTTCCTTGAATTTCCTTCCAGGGAATCCCAATCTTTCTACTTTCCCCCTTCCCCCTTTATCCCTTGCCAGAGAGGGAAGTAACAGTGAAGGGGCTTTGCTGTTTGTCTGCTCCCACCAGGGATTGTGGGGAATATCAGGACTGGAATCAGTGTGGAGACCTCTCAGGACCTGTGGAATCACAGAATATCCTGAATGGGAAGGGACCCACACGGATCATCCAAGCCCAGCTCCTGCAGATGTAGCATTTCTCTACTGGCCCACATCTCCTCACCCATCTGTATTTGGGGTTTGTTGGACGTCGGGGTCCCTTTTGCTGTTTGATTCAACACAAATGACCATTTTGATGAGAACAAAGTAACTTTTCACGTGGAAACGACCTTTAACTGAAGAGATAAAAAGTGTATTTCCTGTTTTTTTGACAGAGGAGGGAGGGGCAAAATGTCTTTGCTCGTGTAAAGATCCGGTGCAAACGAGTTGAAGCTGAACTTGATGATCTCAAAGATCTTTTCCAACCTAAAGGATTCTTTGATTTTCTGATCAAAGCCTGTTTGTGTGAGCCCGTGTGCAAATGAAAGCAAAGTATAAATAATATGAGTAAGAAACCATTTTTCCCCCCCCAAGTGCCATAAATAGTTGCTTTTTTAAAGAGTTTTCGCTTATTTTTCTTACATCAGGACAAAACTGGGTTCCCTAAGCACTTGTCACAGAATAACAGAGACAGGGAGGCCCGTGGCAGCACAGCCAAAGAACTGACCAAGAGTGACCAAGGTTGTCCTGAAATCTGAATTTAGGCATCCCATGTCCAAGGGAAGGTGCAGCCCCACCCAGGGCAGGTGCTGGAGGGAGGGTGAGGGGTTGATGCCGTGACAGATAAACCTTTGCTTCATTTTTCTTTAGTATTTGTGTGTAAATTCCATGGTGGTCCTGGTGGTGTCTTCCCTGTTCCAGAGGAAAGGATGGAGGAACAGGAGGGATCTGCATCCATTCCTTGTGCTGGTGCTTAAGGAAAGCCACTCTCTCACCAGAGATGGTTTGCACTGCCAGGCTTTCCAAGCCTCCCTCCATTAATCCACGTGTCGCAAAAACTGGGGGATCTTCTGCCTTTCCAGCCTTTGAGGAAAACAGGAAGAACGACTGGGGAAGGAAACCATGGAAAGAGAACCAGAACCTCCCTCTTCCCCCAGGTGCTCTCACCAAAGTCCTCCTCCCCCTCGCAGCCCTGGTACCAGGTATTGAGATTTGTGCTGCTCTCTGAGGAAAATCCCTTTTCCCAAAGTGTTTCCTGTTGCCAACCTGCCAGCAGAGGTTCTGAGATCCCATCCCCGAAGCCTGTGGCACCCTGACCTGTTCTGAGGGAACCCACTGAAAGCCTGTTCCCTCCCCAGCCAGAGCCCACCCAGTGAGAAGCAGGCTGGTGGCTTGACAAAACTCGGATTATTCTGTCCAGAAAACTCCACTTTTAATGGATTAAACATCTCTGCCTTTTGTGGTCGCCCTCTCAAGAAAGGAAATCACTGCAAGAAGAAAATGTAGAGCTGGGGTGTATTTTCCTCTTTTTTTTGATTCAGAGTCATTTTTCTTCCCTCCCTGCCTTCCTTCTCTCCTGCTTTCCTGCAAACAGAGAAGTAAATTTTGTCTCCCTGATATTTCTTTGGCTGAACATGATTCGCCTCCGCCGGTGCTTTAAATCAAGGTAATCAAAATAATCGTGTTCTTTTAATCCATCCACTGGACCCAACCCTGTGTACTCCACATATACATTTTTTTTTCTTTTTTTTTTTTTCCTAAGGTTTGGCTCTGACATCACTGAAATGCTGCAGCAAAATCTCAGGAATAAACCAGCATTGTTAGTTAGTTCCTCCTTTCATCCTGAGCCAAACACCCGCAGCTCTCCACAGGCCTCAAAGAAGACCTAGAAATGCCCAAGCAGGATTCCTTCTCCAGGGCTGTGCTGCTGCAAGAAGTGGATTCGTTAAGGAGGAAAAGCTGGAGTCACGGATTGCGGGAGAATTGTAAGGAGGGGGGAAAAAAATCACGACAAAAACCAAAGAGGAGGGTGATATCAAGCAGGAGAGCTCTGTCAAGGTCAAAAACCATCACAATTTGCTCCAGCTGAAGATTTGACACAGGTTCTTCCACCTGAGTGTCCCGGCTGCAGTGCAAGGATGTGGAATCAGGGCTGTTTTTCCTCGTGAAGCCCCTAAAGGTGAGCTCCTGAGTTCTCCTGATCCGCCCCAAGGGCTGCTCAGCAGAAAGCTCTGAGCTGCCTCTCCCCTCTTCCAGCCTGTCCAGGCTGCTCTGGGCCTCTTCCACAGGTGGGAATGGTGGTGGTGGAATGGATTTACCTCTTGAGGCACTGAGATGCTCATAAGGATTATGGAAACTCCACCAGCAAGTTGGGCAATATCAGATATCCAAGACTTCGGTCTTTGTTTGGGATCTAAATCTCCTATTTGCTTTCTCCTCTTGCTTCCAGGGCTAAACCTACTGGAAAACAGGATTTTTCAGCTCAGATACAGTATTTAATACAAACTTTGTTGTTTAAAGGCCCGAGCTGGTATCTCTGCATGGTTCCAGACTAGACTGGAAGAGGAGAACAGGCTGGAGTGCAAGATTCTGTTCCACATTCCACTCCCATTTGTGGTATTCCCTACTTTTGGACCTTCTTTTGTAGAAAAGACCTGCTGCCCTCCATAAAACCACTACAGGTGGTTACCACTGTTAAAAATAGAGGCTTGGGGGCCTAAATCTTGATGTGCAGAAAACTGGAGAGAAAGATGCATCTAAAAACACATCCAGCTCCTGAAAATGCTGTGTGTGTTCTTCCCCAGTGCTCTGAGAACAAGAGCTCTTGGAAATCAGCCCGAGCAGTTAAATTTTGCCCCCAGTCCCTGTACACCCGATATCAGGGAGACTGCAGCAATTCCTCGCTGGAAATCTTGGCTCTGGGAAGTTGCTAGAAGTTCCTGGGAAGTTCCCAGCTCGAAGTTTCAAGGAATCTTGCCGGGAAGTTATGAGTAACAGGAAAACAACGAAGACCCGGGGTTGGCTTTCCAGCTAACCATTTATTTTCCCAGAGAAGTCCCCTTATTAATTTTTATGGTGCATAAATACCAGAAAACCCGACACCGTTAATTAGTGACTGGTTTTGGTCTTTCTGCTCAACGCAGTTCAATCCAAGGCAATCTGGGATTTTTTTTCTTTTTCTTTTTCTTTTCTTTTTTTATTTTAAATTTTTTTGTAAGTTTTAGAGAAAAGTACGTCTGTGGGTAGATGGAGTTTGGTGTTTGTGAGCAAGTCTGATCCTAATTTAAATTAGTGCAATTTTCTTTTCTCTTCCAATCGTTGAGACTCTCTCTTCCAAGACATTTTTCTTCCCATCTGTCCAGTGTGTCCTGGGTTTATGGATAGACACAGGATCCTTAAGGGTGAGTTCCATTTGGTTTAGATATTGACCCAAAATCTGTTGGCTCTTGCACGGGCATCTTTAAGGTGGCAAGAGAGCCCTTTTGACCTTCACCCCTCATGTCCACCCAGAGGAGGATTTGGATGGGCCCTGAATTGTAATCCAGGGAGATTCTCTCGACCTGGATCACCTGGAGTTTGGAGAAGACATCCCAGATATCCCTGACTGTCAGGGACCAATCTGCAGTTCCTCTCTTTGCTGGCAGTTGCTGACAGGTTTCTTCCTCGTGTGGAGTTTGTTTTAAGGCTTATATGGTGGGGCCATCATTTACAAAAACAACAAAAACAGATCATCACACCAAGAATCTGATCTATGGAATTCTTGAAACTGAGAGGATTTGAGTGTAATGAGTTATGGGACTGGTAAAGGATGATGTTTCTCCGAGTCTGCATGTGCCAGTAAATCACTGAGAGGTCTAACTTTAAATCTCTTTGCATTTTGGAAGCATTCCTTAGGTATTGTGTTAACCCTTTTGTTGTCAGGCTGGATTTCAGCACCAGTTCCAGCAGGACTTCCAGAGGTCCACAAGAAGTGAAGGAATCAGGATGCACTGATTCCTCAGCACCTAATTCACTTAGATCCCAAGAAAACCTGTCAAATCTAAATATCTAAGCCCAGTTTGGTTGGAAAACCTTGGAGGTTGGACCTGCTGGCAGGATCACACGCTGGTGGTGTGTCTGTCCATCACACCCTCAACCCAATCCAACACCATCCTCCTGTGCAGACCAAGCCTTGGCTTTGTGTCAAGGTCTTCTTGCACATCCAACACTTCTGTTCCAACTCCCACAAAGTCAGGGCAAGAAATCCACCTTACAAGGTGTTTTTCTGTATCCTCCACTGTCACATTTGGTGAAAGATTAGATTGGTTACACCTCCTGCCGGGTTTAGGTGTAAAATTCTTTCAAATCCCTCCATCTGGAACAGATTTTCTTGGTTTCTGGGAAGGGTATTGATGGTGTGTGAGCAGCTCCAGCTGAGAGGAGAACCTGTTCCATTTGTCACTGCTCACACGGTGACTGACGGCTGACAACAGCCAATTTCCAAATTTACCTCCCAAATCATTAATTCCTCCTTTTTTTTATCACAGGAACGGTAGAACCTCTGTACCTCTGTTGGCTGGAGGAGTGTGGGTGTTTATTTGAAGAGGTGGGTGAAGGCTGAAGGTTGCAAGGGTTTCTTCTCCCACAAAAGGAGGAGGTGGGAAGGAGGCAAAGCCACACATTTTCTGCTTCACTGTGACATGTTTTCTCTCACTGCCAGATCTCAATGTCCCCCCTCACTCCCAGCTGTTGTGCAGTAAAGCCACCAGGCAACATCAATCAACCCATCCAGGTAGGTTTGGTGACTTGGTTATTTCTCACCACCCTCTGCTTAATGAAAGAGTTATTAAACAGAGGAGCTATTTCCAGAAGCCAACAGAAAACAGAGCGAGGAGCTCAGCAGACTGAAAGCATTTTGCCTCCAGGCACTGCCAACCCTCCTGAACGAGAAGACAAAGCGAAAATTGGAGATCTGTGTGCTCAGACCGCAGGGCTGGGAAGACGGAGTTGTCTGCGTGTACGTTGGTGAGAAATGGTGTGAAAATTACATGTCTCCCAGAGTCCAGCACAGCTGGGGAGCACCCAGGGGTATGCACTGCCCTGGCTTTCTGCTATTCTTGGCTCCCTTCATCCCTCTGAAGTGGCAGATGACCTCTTGAGAGGCTCCATACGTGACACGATCCATGTGCTCCGCGAGAACTCCGTGTGGGATTAATGCGCCGTTCGCTCGGGGGAAAACCTCGGCGTCTCGGGGAGGCTGGAGCTCGGTGTCATTCGGGGGAATTCACCCCCTGAGTGGAGCACTCAGGAATTTTGGAGCCTTGGGAATGGCCTGTGTGTGTTCAGCTTGACCTTGGGCTGTATTGTGATATTATCCACAGCGGGTTGTGCAGGGAATGCTGGAGGCGCTTCGGTGGGATGGGATAAGAGGAGTGAACATTCTCTCTGGGACCCTCTTTGCTTTGCTGCTCTCCACCAGTGATCCACCAGTGTGTGGGCACAGAGATCCCCTCAAGAGGCTGCTTTATAGCCCAGTGACTTCACTGAACTTGATTTTTTGCTGTTTGCCTGAAATGCCTGCTGACATCACAGCTGATCTGAAGACAGACTGCTCTGTGGCTTGGGAGATGGAGGTGCAAGTCCCCCAACGAGTTCTGGACAAGCCACTTCAACCTCCCCCTGCCTTGGCTTTTTTACTTTTCTCAGAAATGAAATGTTTTGGTTTTAAGCAAAACTCCCTCTCCCCCGCCATCAAATGGTTTTTTCCCTCCAGATTTTATATTTTAGATGGAAATTTTCTAAAAGTCAGGGTTTGGGTTGTTTTGTTTTCCTGGTTCCAGTTCCTGTTGGAGAACATTTTTTTTTTTTTTTGTGGAAAACACAGCTTTTCCCATAAAGTGTTCTGAACTCCACCAAAGGAAAGTGCAATATAAGATCTATTATTCTTGTGGTGCCTTTGGGGTCAGGACACATCCATTGGTCACGTAGCCTTACCCAGGGTGCTCTCCTGGAACGGGAATGCTGATGGGAGACAAACCCTCAAGGACATGGTTTGGGGTTTTTTGGGTCTATTTGCTCTTTAAACATTTCTAACCTCTTCTTAAATGCAGGTTTCTGCTCCCTTTTTTTTTTTTTTCTTTTTTCCCAACTGTTTCCAAAGGGAGGAATCCCAAATCCGTTCCTCCAGCCTTTTTCTACTTTTTTTTTCTATGTGGAAGTACCACACACAGCTCTGATTACCCTCCTTCACCTCTCCCCCTCCCCACTCTTCATCCTCTGCCCCGGATCCCTCCCAAACACTTGGGTTTGGCTCCTTCCTGAAGCCAGTTTGGTTTTCCTTCAAGAAGCCTTTCCGCAGCTCTTGTTGCAAACCACACATTAGCAAAGCAATGAGCTCCTCCAGCCCTCTTTGCTCCTTGCTGGCTGTTGGGAATCCAGGAAAAAAAAAATAATACAATCTGTCCTCAGGAATAACAAACATCCTTCCCCTCTCTGCGGACCTGAGTGAAAAATGGGGATGTTCCAATCCCGGAGCAGAAATTCATCCCTAAAGTCCAGGACTTGAAAGGAGTTGTGCCACAACCTTGAACTCTTTTACTGACCCTTTTGGTGGATTCTCTGCCTGGTTTGGAGCAGAACCCACGACCTGGAGGGGAATGTTTGATTTAAAAGGGAACCTGGAGTTTAATTGTCCTTTGGGTTTGGCTCTGCCGCGAGCGAAGCCCCGGTGAGCGTCTCGCAGAAAGGCAGCAAACCCCAAACCCGGGCAGGGCTGACTCGCTTTGGTTTATTTTGTTTCGTTCACAGGAACGTAAACCAAGAGAAAAACGGTTTAAAAGCAGGGGGGGTGTGAGCAGAGGAGCCGGAATGTGACGGAGGAAAGGGAATGAGGAGTAATTTGGCAGCAGCCGGCGGCGATGGCTCGGCGCGTGTTCGTGCCCGGCTCTCAGATCTCAAACCACGACCTCGGGTTTCTCCCTTGGCCACCAGACTTGATGGGGAGTCAGGACTCTGAGAGAGACACCAGGAACCTTCCTGGGGCTGCAATAACGAGGTTTAATTATTAGTTAGCTGTCTGGGCTTGCGGATGGGGAGGTATCAGCGCGTTCGTCTCCGCAGACGCAGACTGGAAGGCACACAGAGTGTGTGGGATCCAACCCTGGCTTTGAAGGGGATTCTGTAATTTAAAATTCACTCTAAACTTTACCCAGAAGTTAATCCCCTTCCTTACCCTCTCTCCCCCAGATTGCTTGAATAACATGAATCATTCCACCCCGTGCATGTCAGACAAGGACATTTTCATCTTAAACTATTAATTTTCTTTTTTCTTTTTTTTTTTTTCTGGAATACAATGTTATCAAAATCAACACGTTCCCATGTGACATTCACATCTTTTTACATGGAAACCCCCCCAATATTCCAGTATAAAACCTCCCAGAGACTCAACAGCAACCTAGATCCTAACAAATTTTGGCACTGTTCCTTGTTTTGCCACTGGTTAAAACCAACCAAACCGTGGTCAGAGGGTTGGAATGCCCCACTCTGCACAACTGGGAAGGAAAAGATCGGGATGAAAACATCACTGACTGAAGTCCAGGTTCTTTTTTTGCTGCACACTGAGACCCTGAGATGTTCTTCAGGTCACAGGTATCAATATTAACTTTCAAATGTGGGTGTTTTAAAGTCCACCCTTTCCTCTTTCTTTCTCCTTCTGTGGCTGATGTTTTTTATTGTTTGCTCAGGGTTCCCTATTCCTCCTTCCTCTGCCCAAATCCCTCTTCTTCCCACTTCCTTGTGTGTGCTTGTAGGACTATCTTGAAATTAGATTTATGTTGTTTAGTGACATAATGGCCTCATTAAATCCATAACATCCATACAATGTACCAAGTGTGGAATATTTTAGGGAGATTATGGGGACAGAGCTGGCTTGTCCTAAATTCTGTCACCCTTTGAGATGGACTGGTGGGATGAGCCTGCTGGGAAGGTAGAGTGGGCAGATGGAGAGGTTTTCCTGCCTTAGAGCATTATTGGTCTTCCCATGGGGGAAAATAGGTTTGGTTTTCCCCTCTTCATCCAGAGGGGAAAGCTGTTCATGGAATCATAGAATCACAGAATGGTTTGAGTTGGAAGGGACTTTAAAACTCATCCCATTCCACCCCCTGCCATGGGTAGGGACACCTTCCACTAGCCCAGGTTGCTCCAACCTGGCCTTGGACACTTCCAGGGATCCAGGGGCAGCCACAGCTTCTCTGGGCAACCTGTGCCAGGGCCTCATCATCCTCCCAACCAGGAATTCCTTTCCAATATCCCATCTAACCTTGCTCTCTTCCCATTTAAAGCCATTCCCCCTTTTCCTGTCCCTCCATCCTTTGTTCCCAGTCCCTCTCCACCTCTCTTGAAGCCCCTTTAGGCCCTGGAAGGGGCTCTCAGGTCTTCCCAAAGCTACTTTTTCTCCAGGTGAACACCTCCAGCTCTCCCAGCCTGGCTTATTTTGCTGCCCACTCATGTCCAGCTCCTCCCTGGCTCTGGTGGGATAAATGATTAATAACAGTCATGAGCAGATAATTTTGGGAAGGATGGGGAGTGGTGTGAAAGCAAGGAGAGGAGATTAAATTATCATTATCATTATTATTATTATTATTATTATTATTATTATTATTATTAATCACTCCAGAGCTCCCCTGTTTGTTGGATAGTTCTGTCCAACCCCAGAAAAACCCTCCCAAATCTATTTTAGCTCCATTTTTTGTCTCTGTCCCTCCCTTGCAGTGACCCCTTTTCCTTTGCCGTGAATGCCTTTTGCACGACGAGTGGTGTTTTCTCTCCTACCCATCCTCTCCCCATTTTCCAGCCTGCCCTGGAATGTGGGATTAGATGTTGTAATGCAGCATTAGGGGCCCTAAAGGTCAACCTCCTGCCTCCCAAAGTCATGGGGGGGCTCACAGGCTTTGCTGATGAAAGAACCCCATAACCCTCCCCACAAAACAGGATTTAGGAAACAGCTCAGGGTGAGAAAGGGGGAGGGAAATAATAATGATAAATAAGTTAAATAAAGACCTTTCCATACCCGGGAATCAGCAGCCCTTTTGCATCTGAGACACCCGGCAATTACGGACTAATCCAGTTGGCAAATGCAAGATGGTGCCTGGATCGATTCTTCCCAGCCCAGTTTTTTTGTGTGGGGAATGTTTGCTGACTGAATTAAGGAACAAGCAGAGAAAAGCCCCTCCTTGTTTCCCTCGGGGCAGCAGAGGAGCTGGACAAAGCCTCTGGCTCCTTGGGCTGCAGCTCTGGGAGGTGGAGGATGCTGAGCCTCGGGATGGCTGGGAAGGCTGGAGGAGTAAGGGAGATTTTGGGGGGAAATTCCTGCCTGCACCTTGGCCCCCTCCCTGGTGGGGGGAACTAATTCTCTGCTGTTTCAGCTCTCACTGGCCACGGTTCAAGCCAGGCTTAAGCACAAGCCAGGCTTAAGCACAAGCCTGGGGAGATGCTGCGGTGACAGGAACGCCTCGCCCTGGAACTCTGGGATTGGTTCTGGAAGGCTCTGGAAGGACAGGATTTTCCAAGAGGAGGTGGGAGGTGTTGGCATGGGGAGGTGCATGCGAGCTGGTGAGGTCCATTTTCCTGTTCCCTGGGGCTCCTGGGAAGAATTAAGGCTCTAGAGCACCTGGCAGGGATGTGTGGTCTTGTCCTTCCTTCCCTGCTGCTGGTGGCACCCAAGGGTGGAATGGCTCCTTATCCTTCCTCCTCCTGTTCATCCTCACCTCTGGAAAGTCCTCTCCTAGGACTGAGGACTGCAGACACCCTCTGGAAAGTCCTCTCCTAGGACTGAGGACTGCAGACACCCTCTGGAAACCAGCATGGTCCATACCTTTGTCTGAGCCACAAGGAAAACTGAAACAGGTGGAATTTGGAAATCCCGTGAGGGTCTGACCTGTAGGAAAGGAAATACAGGGCCAAGTTCAGCTTTTTCCTTAAAATCCAGAGCTGGCAAATAGATTCTCTCAGGGTTTTGTTGTTGTTGTTGTTGTTTTTCACCTGTAAAATTTTGTATTTCTTTGCCTAAGGAGCTGGTCAGTTGAACCTCGCAGGAAGCCAAGGAGCTCCACAGGGAAAGAGGTAGGAAGGTGGGATGGCTGTGGAATAAAACCTCTGCTCCATCCTAAATCCCAGAATCTGGTCACTGACTGGTTTTCTCACCCAATCTGTTTCCCCAAGCACCAACTTAACGTCTTGGGAAGCTTTTTGAGGCTCTGATGGGAATTTTAGCCTGAGCCTGACAGACCCTAAGGCAGCGTCTGCCTGGAAAACAGAGTTTTAAATGACAAAGTGTTTTTGAAATTATGTTTTTCCATTAAAATCAAATAACTCAGGAGCCCTTTGGAACAAAGAGGTGTCCCACCAGCAAATTCCCAACTTTTTCTGAGTGGTAGAGAGGAGAAAGAATTCACAGGTTAGTTAGTTTTGATTCTGTTATGTCAGAGGCTTTTTTAAGGGGAAATCCCTAATAAATGATAATATCTCCAAATAATAATAATAACAGTTTGGTCTGTTCTGGTTATTTCGTGACTAATTTCATAAAATAAGAACAGAAAACAAAATGATAATTACAATACTTCTGCTCTGGACTAGATAGCTTTCTGCCTGTTATTATTTGAATTGCTATAAAATTCTAAATGATCCCCATCTCTCCAAATACATCCAGTAAAGTGTGAGAATGAGAAACTGTTGGTGCTCAGAAAAAAATTAAACTGGTATTTCAGGCTTTTTTGCTTGTTTCTTTTCTTGGTTATGGTATTTTAACATGGAATATCCCCTGAGGTGATAATCAGTAACCTCAGCATTGATTTCTAGAGCTGTGTAAGTGAGAGAGAAATCAGTAGGTTGATAAATCAATATTTTTTAGAAATACCTGAGAGGTCAGAAACACGTCCCAGAGACTCTTATCACTGCCCTGGGTTTTTGGGGGAATAAACCCATAAATTTATCCATGAGAAATCCACAGTAACACTTAGTTACACAAGTCCTGTCCCAGCAGGCTCTGGGACAGTTGGATTTACACT